CATCAAATAAATTAATACAATGGTCATCAACAATAAATAATATATTTCCATCATTAGAAATTCTTGAACTTGATCGAAATTATTTATCAACTATATCATCATTAAATGCACCAAAATTAAAACAATTAAATTTAGATGAAAATCAATTAGGAAATAAAATCGATAAAAAAATTTTTTCAAATTTACCATCTCTTGAAAGACTTCAATTACGTGATAATCAAATTGAATTTATTGATATAAATGCATTTCGATATACTCGTTTACAATCACTTGGTAAGAAGATACAACAAAAAACGAAAGAGAATTTTTTTTTTTTTTCTTTTTTTTTAATAGATTTAACAAATAATAGTTTAACTGTAATTCCTCTTTTAAATAATCTTAATGAAACATTACAAATTTTATCTATTCGACTTAATCAAATATATACAATTGATTCATCAATAATAAATTATTATCAAACACTTCATACACTTGAACTTGATCGAAATCCATTAGATTGTGATTGTCAATTAAATAAAAATATTCAACATTTATTTCGTTTAAAAATGAAAATAACCGGTCAATGTCAATCACCAATTGAACATCGAAATCGAAATCTTATTGATTTATCTGATGAACAATTATCATGTCATTTAATAAATTTACCTCAAAATAAATTTTTAACAAAAATTGAACAAAAAATAGCAACACTAACTACTAATACGACTACAATAAAAACAACTATTGCGAATATGTAAGTCTTCTTATCAAGAATCAGAATCTAATATTTTGAAATACAACTGCTTTTACTAATGACTATTTAATTCCATATCTAGATAGATTAGTTAAATCCTAAAGAAAAAAAAACGATACCTGCAAAAACTTATTAAGATTTCTTTTTTTCATTATCTAACATATTCTTTTTATGTTTTCAGTTATTCTTAGATGTAAATCAAGTCACAATGTTAGGATTAATTGGAATAGTAACATTTTATTTACAAGGATAGGTCATCAAATGATTAAAGATTTTTGAACCTATATCTTGTCCAACTGTAGGATTCTATAGATTATAATACCCACTAAAGAGTTTGTGTTGACATCAGCATTTGATCGAGATATTGACTATTTAGTGATTTTGGTTTGAAAACTTTGTCTAGATGATTTTTCAACGATGCTGTGTAGTACATGAATACTTCTGAAGATGCGTATCTCAGAAACACTCGATCGAAACCTTCTCAAATGTTGTGTATAAGCTAACTAGTTTTACTGAGACCTTCATTTGGACAAACTTTTCAGGTCAAAATTTAATAATAGGGTTTTACTGGAAAATCGGGTCCATCCAGAGAAAATTCACTTAAATGTTAATATCTCGGGTACATCTTAATGTCATCATGAATTCTTTAGAGTCTATTCTAATCTATAGATTCTTACCATTAGGCAAAATATGAATTCAAAAGGTTTTAATCATCTGATAAACTTTCTTCATTAGTCCATATTCTTATCAAAGCATATTGCTCTTGACGATGATATAATTATATAGTTAAACCTTGTAGCACAAATAATAAAGAAAATCATTATGGTAGTTTTTGATGTATCATTGATGATTAACCTTCTGGAACTAATGCACTTTGACCTCGGTTTTCTTTTTTTCTTCTCTTGAATGAAGTATCAATTAGCATGAATATAATCATTATCTTGACCAGAAAACTTCGTATTTATTACTATCTATTAAACTATATTATTTAAGAGTTGAAGAAATTGTTGAGAATTCTCTTGAACGTCAACAACAACAACAACAGCACTCATTACCAACAACACCTGAAGAAGAAATATTAGAACGAATTCGTATATCTGATTTAATGATCACACCAATAAATGATAAATCTCAGTTATTAATTCAATGGGAATTATATCCATTAATAAATAATGAACATGATAATGATGATTATCGTCGTATAAATTTAAAACGTCATGATATAAATGGTTTTAAAATTAGTTTAAATTCACCTATCTATAAAATGAGTCAATTACTTGATGTTTTACAAAGAAATTATACAATAGATTATATTCAACAAGGTGAAATATGCTTATTTTTACTTCGAAAAATTGATTATGATAAATTTTGTAAACAATTAGAAGTATTTTCAAATAATCTACCAACGCAAACATTAAAATCATCACTTATTCTTGATTCTAAACAAGCACAACAAATATGGTATTTAAATGAACCAACAAAAAGTATTATAATTGGTTCAATATTTGGTATTTTATTTGTACTTGTTCTTCTTATAATTATTATTTTAATAATAACACGTTGTCGTATACGTTTATCAAAATATAATCAAAATAATGATTCAAAAAGTGAAACACTTCTTGTACGTCCAACTCCAACAAATACTATTCCATGGTCATCACCATCAGTACCATTATCATCAACACATCCACAACCTTATCAACATCGTTATCATCAGTATCCACGACCTATTAGTTATCAACCAAGTCTTTCTACACAATGTACATGTCGAACACATTATCATAGTAGCGGTTCATCGACAACTGATGCTAGTTCTAATTGTAATCATGGACAAAATTATCATATTTATCAAGAAATTTTAAATGATGATTATAATTCACAAGTAATTTCTAATAATTATCGAACTTGTCGTCCTTTACATATTGATACAAACTCTCCGCCAACATCTACATCATCAAATACAACAACAACGACAACGAATCTTGAACAGTGTCAACTTTGTTCACTTAGTGTTCTTGTATAATCTTTTTTTTTTGTTTTGATATAATACGAATATTGATAATTAAATTTAAGCTGATTTGTATAAATAGAGAGCAAGTATTATAAAGAAGATTATTTTTCTTATTAATGAAAAATTTCAAGAGATTAATTTAATCACTTACAAATCATAAAGAAGAATATAAGAGTATTTGAGAGAGTATGCATTACAAATGGTACCCGAATTTGCTTTTAAAATTTTCACTCTTATGACGGAACCTTTTCAACTACATACCTCTCCCTCTTCCGATTTAAATTACTACATAGCATTCTAATAAAAAACCTCAGAAAAGGATTTCGGTTCCTATCTATATTTGCCTAAGCTATCGAATTTTCATCTGAAATTTTCAAAAAATACGTGCTCTATACACTATCCATGGAACAGTGAAAATCTCATATTTTCAAGAGACTATGTTCAAAACTTCTAATTTCTTTTTTATGGAAGCTAATCTAGCTGAATTCCCAATATGAACTAAGTTTCTGATTAAAATGTGAATATTCGATAGTTCACGCCTATATCAATAAGCATCTAAATTTTCTTCGAGTTTTTACAAGAACACTATGTAGTATCTATAGGCGCAAAATCATCAAAATCAAAAGGAAACAACTGAAAAAGTTCTCAAAATATTTTGACTTGAAACCTTGAATGTAAATGATTTTCATCATCTAATGATATATTTAATAAAAAAAAAAAAGACTTCAGAATTTCTCTGCATTATCGTTACCGTAAGTTTTCCAAAGACTGATAGTGGTAGTCTATACAATCCGTCTTTAATTATTAGAAAAAAAAGATGCAATAGTTCATTGCTAAACAGTTTTTCTCTTGTTTTTTGGAAACCCAGATGTATCAATATCCATCAATGTTATTATTTCCTAATAAGCATACATTTGTTCTTCTAACAGATATCATATAGAAATACATGATAATTATTAAAGAGAACGGATTTTGCAATTAAAATACCAAAATCAAAAATATGTCAGAATAATTATTCAAAATTCCATAAGAAAATTATCGTATAAAACTTCATTTCTTTCCAAACAATAAAATATTAAAAACAAAATTACCTTAATCTTATTTGATGATATATTTGATATATATTTATTCTAAAACAATGCAAAATTTGAATTACATATAAAATTTATATCAATTTCTAATAAGTAAAACAAAAGACAAGTAAATTTGTTAGAAAGTTATATTAAAAATTTTTCAAATGAATTAACACAAAAGATATTTTTCTTGTTTATCCAACAAATAAAAATATCTGACAAGAAAAAAAAAAAGCAGGTTTTTCTTTTCTTATTTTAACCAAAGTTTTAATCTATAAGCATCCACACCATTCAAATAATATCGATATAGACGTTTTTCACGTAAAAATCCTAAATTTTCATAAAGATTTAATGCAGCATCATTTGTTACTTCAGCTTCAAGTACAATTTCATCACAACCACGTTTTATCATTTCTCGTATACTCATAAGAACAAGTTTTGAAGCAATTTTCTTTCGTCGATATTCTTCATTAATAGCTAACATAGCTATATAACCACGACGTAAAACTTTTTTATGTAAATCTAATTTTGATACGATAGCACCAATTAATTCATTTGTTTTTCGATTTGAACATAAAAAACATAAATCAGGCCAATTATGAATAAAATAACGGTATGTATATATAGAATAAGGTTCAGATAATGTACCACTTATTAAAGACATTATAGATGACATTTCATTTTCTGATTGATATGAATGAAAATATATTTCGGAATCAGTTTGATCATCAAGTAATAAATTATTAAGTTTTAATATTAATTCAGCATCATTGTCTAGTTTTATTGTTGATTGGTTTTCATGACTATCACATGAATGAATATTTTCATTTGATAATTCATCATTATGATTTATTATTGAAGTATTATTAGATGATTCTATTTCATGATCAACACCATTTAAAGTTGTTGTAGATTCCATTGTTTTATATTTTGTATTAGAGTATTCGTTTGGAAAATATTAAATGAAATAACCAATCAATGTGTTATCAGATCATCAATCGATCGGTTGGATAATATAACACACCATCACTATAGAGAACATTTTAAAAGTTGTACTGACATCTATGTAGATATTTTTGAATAGAGGGTATTGTTAGAGAAACAATTTCGATGATGAGAGGAGCTAGTTGAAACATGGAATCGGTATAAGTTTGCATATTTTTCATCGTTTATTCAAACAACAATGTCCTATTTACGACGAAAACCAGAAGATGAAATATGGTATATTCATTCACCGTTAAAAAAAGGTAATCGTGAATTAGTTACTGCTCCTCCACCATCACAAATACCTTATCTTAATGGTGTATTTGATGATGAAGCAACAATTAATCAACCAAAACCAATTTATGTTCGAGAAACTGATTCAGATTATATTCGTCGATGTAAATTAGGTGGTAGTAATAATTTACTCGTACATATTGATCCAGCAACACGTAAAAGTAAGGAACCAGTACCGTATCCAAGACCACTTTGGTGGGATGCTATGTGTGAACAAATTCCATCACCAGTAAATCTAAATAACAATGAACAACAAGGAAATAAACCAAAAACTGAACATGTATTTGGTGCTCCTGAGTGGTTTGTTCATGCGGAACATAATCCTTCTCCAGATAAACAACAAAATGTACCCTCAAGACAAAATAATACATCCAGGCAAGCACAATTGCCGACCAATACAAAAAGAAAATAATGATATTCGTTTTTGAAAAAACAATTAATTTTTCTTTGCTGAATTTAAATAAAAAGATTTTTATTTCTTCATTTACGAAAACATTTTACTTTAAAAAGAAGCTACTTCATTGATGAAAAAACAAATGACATGTTTGTAAGGACAATTTTTATAGGAATAAGCTGTTCTTGTATTGATACTGCCTGTGGGAATATTGGATTTTTATCTACATGATTTTTTATTATTTGTGCATTCACTTCAATACAGTTAAACAAATCAATTTATTTTTATTGTTCCTTACATGAATCGACAATTATTTCTAAAAAATAATATTAATAATGAAAGTTTATTCGTAAACCAAGAAAAAATTAGAAGGTTCATCAACCATTTTCTAGAATAGTAGTCATTAGTATTGAGAGAAACTATTTGTTGTTGTTTGGAGAACATAATTCGGTAATCTTTTCATGAACTAAACTCAAAATTTTAGCGAAACAATGCTAATAGTTGAACATTATCACTTGCAAATCACTGAAAAGAAACCTGTAATAAAAGGAAAGAAAATGCTGTTGATTATCGAGTTGATACTGACGACTCAGAAACATTCAAAGATATTAATCGTCCAGCAAATAAGCGCATGTTTTGGGCAAATAAAACTCATAGATAAAGCTCCAATTGCGTTTTAAAATATTCAGCATTCGATGTGTATTTAATTTAAAGAAAACCCAACACTCAGTAGACAGCATTGTTCGGCTTTAAAAAATTTGAAGCCATAATAAATACCATTTATCACAATTCTCTATTTTTACTCAAGCAAGTGATACTCAGTTTTACAGTTAATCTCCATTATCTATTTGATATTTACATACGATTTTTCAGAATTACAGCATGTAAGATAAGTAAGACTCAATGAGGTAGAGACATGATATATAAACATATGAATAGTTCATTTTTAACAAAAGAATAGCCAAATCATTTCTGAAAAAAAAATTATTGAAAACAAATAGTTAAGAAGAGTTTTCATACAGGAACATTGATGATGATGTAGTATGTCTGATTTATTCGTGCTCTCTTGGTTTTTCGATTTTCAAGAATTTTAACTATGAAGACATAAGTTCTTGGGTGTGGGTGGGTGTGGGTCTGGGTGCAGTTTGTGTGTGATGGGGGTGGATCTTGATGGAAGTTTAGATATTCTCATCTTTCACATTCATACCAGATCCTCAACTATGCCCACACTCTTTTCAAAGACGCCTACCTATTCCTGTTAGTGACTCCGTTAACCAATAGAATCAATTTTCCTTTTCCATTGTCACAGCAAAATGATGTGCGACAATATTAAGACTTCAGTCACTGACAGTGTTCTTTATTCAATGGGCATATATTCTTCTCATTTATTAGTAACTCTTTGGTTGTCACTGACGCATACATGCGTCTTGAACTTTATCAGCGTCTATTAGAATAGACGCAATCAATCGTAGTACATGGTTTTAGATTCATTTGCATAGAAATGAGCACCGGGCAGCTGAAGCTTGCAATGTCCTCATTTCGTAATGGTGTGTTTTTAAGTCATTCTTTACAAAAGGAGGGGGTATGGAAGCTGTCAATTTGTTGGACATATGGCTATCTTTTGTTCTCGTTCTTCATTTTTATATCATGTATGGGAAGCAGGCATTAACAAATAATTGATAAAAGGATTGTTAAAACATATAGCGAGAAAAATGAACCAATCTCCTTTCGCCCCACACCTTGTGATTGACAGAAATATAGACGAAATTCTCTATAATATCATACAGTTTGACATCTATTTCGATATTGTGATCTATCTAACCATCAAGAATAATACGACAAACGTATGTGTGGGGCATTCCTGATCAAATGAAACAGATCAATCGTTTTTCCCATTTTAATCTTGCAAGAATTACTCTAAAAGCTTTTTACATATACTAGAAAGTGCTTGAGATGTCTATCGTTTTTGGTTTCTTCGGATCTCCTTCTATTCAAATACAAAGACAAATATATGGCATCTACATTCAAAACCATTCGTTTATTTTACTAGAGCTCTTTATGAAAAATCTACTAGAAAATCAGCAGAACAGCACATATCGGTACGATAAAAAAATTGATACTCGCAGCTATATGTAGTCACTTTGATAAAAGTTTCAACTCGATCCAACAAGCTTTGTAGGAGATAATGGGGTGATTCTACACTTTTTTGTACAAAAACTAAATGGGGGGGGGGAACTAATAACAAATATTTTCTGTATGTATGAGGAATTTTTTTTTTAAGTAACATGATTGATAACTAGTCGTGTTTATTAGTATTACAGTAGTTCATGAAATATGCTCTAAGTATTCGTAGAATGATAAATAATTATCATTATTAGGAGAAGTTTGTCTAAAATAGAATAGACTCAGTTCGATATTTGTACTAATGATTTTGAAAGTTGGATTTATTACATGGACTTATTAACGCCGAAGAGTGTCTATTTATATGGTTTTGGACAGAGCACACTTCAGGACTATATTAGTCATGAAAAATCGAAAATTGAAAAGTTTTGTCTTTTTCGTCTAACAGGGAAGAGGGACAGGGGAAAGCGCTCGTCGGTTCATATTTGCGCTGGAAAAAATGAGATGTTACTATTGTCTATTAATGGTACAGTACTGGCGTCTATCAGAAATATCATTTTCTTAGGATTCAATTGTCTTGTGTAGTGTTCAGTTTTGCGCCTGTAAATGATATAAACGATCGATATCGCTTATATACCTCTTTCTCTTCGTATATTTTTTTTTGGTCTCTTTTTGCTTCAATAGAGTCGGCTTTTTAGGTGGCCAATATTGTCCATTATCAGCGGCACGAGACTCATAATGAACTGTAATGATGCGTGAAACTCATACAATTACATATCATCAATCGTTAATCAAGAAGTAACTCATCTGTAAATGTTAGTAATTATTTTGTAAAATTGAATTAATGTTTTTAGATTGAATATTTATAGATATTTTTATGGAGAGTTATCATGGCCAAGACTATGAATATGATAGATATATTTTAAAAACATTTTGAAAAAAAATGATATTGTTCTTTAGTAAGTCTATGCAGGGTTCAAGACGATAAACAATTCTCTGAATTTATCAGTCGTTAAAGATAGTATGTGTATTATGTTGATATGTCTCCAAGCGCTTCTCGTACATAGTCACACATCAACAATTCTTTCTGCTCGTGAAAAGACGTCGTGGCAGAAATGAAGGAAGAAATTTTCTTCAATATGTACACAATATTGTTATCAATCGAAAAAATAGCATTTATGTTCATGCTTTGGTCTATTTTCTTATTACAATGTCAACTAGAGTGCTATCAACAAGCTAAATAGTTATTAAGACTTTGCTCTCTGTTGTCAAAAATTGCTCAAAGAACTTTGTAGCGAGGAAATAAAGACAATTTGTGTGTTGTTTGCTATGTAATAACTTTTCTGATGCCATTTGAGATTGTCTGGCACATTCGTCATATAGAATTTAATTTTTACGATTTTTTATCAGAATATGAGAGTGTGGACTTGGTGGATATGAGTGTGGGCCTGAATCTTGGTAAAAGAAAGAGTCACATATACACCCACACTTACATCTGCGAAGAATCTCTGTCGTACTCTCAACAATTATCGATAATTAATCCTATTTCACGCCGTATATCAATAAAATCATCCACTCTAACTCCTTGTTCTTATTTATATATATCTTTACTTATTTATCTAATAACAATATCAAAAACCATATGCTCCTAGTTATCGAAAATCTTATCCAGCGTCATGATCATATTGAGTGTGGATGTGGGGTGTTCGTAATATGAATATCTACACGTACACACAGACACATGTACATAAACAGACCTGCATCTATATGTGTGATCAAAAATTTTTTATATTAGATGTAACAATGAAGCTTTCATGACATGGAATGAATCTCCAAATGAACAATATGATTTGCTCCAGCTCATGACTGGAAGTCGGCATTCACCTATTTGCCTAAGGTTTTCAATAAGTAACAAAGTCAAGTATCTTGAAGTTAAATTGTGTTATACATATAGAATAATTGCCAACAAAGTTAATCATTAATCATTGGATTATCTCTTTGAGTCTATACCTAAACCAAGCGATTCAATAGGTAACAAAATATCACTCATTCAAACTGTTCTCAATCGTACAATACGATGTTGTTCTATCAGATATAACTATATAAACGAACTAGATTATCTGGAATCTGTGCTCAATGAGTATAAAATTACCCTGAACTCAGTTATGAGAATGATAGATGACATTATCTGTCGAAATATATTCTATAATATTAGCAAATATATCAGAAAATATAAATATAATTCTTCTCGTCGTCGCATTGATCACAATGAGCAACAACAAGAAAGAGAACAAACAGATACATGATATTTAAATTATCCATTGAAAGAGATCAACAATTGATCGAATTCAAGAAAGATCTAGAAAGTTTCCTTCAATATTGATTCAATAGGCAACAGCTCCATTCAACGTTTTCAAGAAATAATATGTTTGTTTGTGATAGAGGTTCTGTTAGATATAAAAGGATATATGGAATTTATGTACATCTGATTTTATATGTAAAGGTGAAATACAGTGGACGACCATAATAGCCAATCAAACACGATACCTAACTCCAGTTTATAATACGATTGAACGAGACTTTAGAAGATTGAAGTAATGGAAGTTTGTTGATTTTGTTATTAATACTAAGTTTATACCTCTCAGAGGAGACCGGTATAGGTGTGAATAATGAGAATACTCAAAATCACACTTAGAGCCACGCCCATACCAACACACGCTATCCCCATCAATGCTCTATATCCACATCCTTATTCGATGTAATTATACAATTATTGTTTCAAAGTATCAGATCAACATCGAAATACTTATTGAATAGATAATACATTGTCATACTACAAGTTTAATGTTGTATATAAGAGATTGATACTACTATTGATATTGAACTTGGCTATGAATTATTATCAATAATAAATGGTTTACAAATATTTCCACGAATCTCAAATCAATGGATTCATATATTTTCAAACTGTGTTAAGATTTGTCTACGCGTAACTCAGTAGAGTCATTCAACTTGAATTCAACTTTAACGGTACAGTATAGTGAAATAGTTCGACTCAAATAAAATATTGTTTGGTAAAACTTTTAAAATCGAACTGACAGACGTACAAGATACAATTCATTTAAATTCTCACATATCTTTCTCAAACATCTGTATTTCAGTATCATCAAATCTACGGTAAAATTGAACTATTCTTTACTTAAGAATAATTTTTGTTCTTCCATTAATCTCCCATTTTCTGTTATTCACTTTGATCTTTTATTTTTCTTATTTTGTTTTTTTCTGCTTGTTTAATCTTGTTTTTCTTATTTACGCTAAAACTATGTGATGCAGAGTCCTGATGAACATGGATATTTTAATAAATAACACAAAACGCGTCGGCGGAGAGAACTCTATATTTCTGTAATTCTTCTAAATAGAACACAATTAAATTCGACTTCATCGGTTATTGAAAAGCAAGGATTGACAATAACAAGTGGACTTGTCTATTTTATCTAGAGGAAAATCTACAACAAAGTCAAATGTGGCTTATTTCCTTGTAAATATGCTTTCTTCGTATACTAAAACCGAACAGTTTGATTGTATGAAATTAAAAACAAATGCTTAATATGCATTGACAATGTCATTCTATTTTGATAAACATTCGCACATTTCTTAACATGACTTCGTCTCATTCTTCTATCCTGATAATGATTTTCTTTATAGATATTCCCCAATGTATTAGAGAGAATCCATACGAAATAAGTGCAAGTCAAGTATCGTGGGACAAACCACTATGAGACTTTAGTCTTAGTGTATTCAAATTATCGATTCGATAACATATTGATACTTAATCAGAATCACTTTTAAGAAAACATACACTGTCATAAGAGCATCGATTAAATTATTAAGAAACAAAATTAACAAGACAATGTATTTATAAACTCAAACTTTTCATGATTTCCTATGTAAATTTTCTCTATGATGATTCCTTTCCGATCTTTAACTAGAAGCCTTATTTCAATTGATTTTAAAACAGAAAAAATTTATTCTTATAAAAAATATCACGAAAACGAAACAAAACGTTCTCGCTTGTTTTATTTTGAAAAGCTGAAGAAATTGTTCATAGATAAATAGGTTAAAACCAAACGTATGTATATGAGTCGAAAAAATAATCAAGTTTGAAATGTTCATGATGTTAGTGTATGCAGGATGTGTTTGGAACAATATCCAATATTTGACATATTCAAAGTAATTGTTGTTTCACTAACACTTGATTTAATCTACAAATGATTTTTGCTGATTATTCTAACTAATGAGAAAGTTAGACTTTCATAAAAATAAGTGACAAACCAGCAATGTCACTCTACGATTGAGAATCAATGCATTGGATCTACATCTAATTGTGAGTTAGCCATTATTGACTATGAAAAGATATGCACAAATATGCTGTAAATTTCTGACAAATTAAGTGATATAAACTTGATTCATAAAGACTTAAATAAAGATTTACTAGTAACTGAAAAAAAAGTTTCAAGAAAATCTGAATTACAATATTGGATATTCATGTGATTTCATATTTCTGTTTGTTTATTTTTTCATATTTAAGCGTAATTAATCTATTTAATTGAATATATAATGAAAACCTTCATATTTTCAGCGTTTGTATGAAAATTTTTGATGATCTCATAAAAAAAGAACAGCAATTAGTACGTTTTATGGACAGAATAACGTTATTTCCTCGCTTTTAGAAATAGCGCATCTTGAAATTCATCTATGCATTAAAAAGGCCTGTTTTTTCTGTATTTAGTGTTTCCTATCATTGAGTAAAAAGGTTTTTCTTTGATTATTAATAATCTATAATTCAAAGAAATGCGACATGTTGAGAAATAAAAAGTAAGAAAGACATGAAGAGGATTGTTTGATGTTCTGTAGACACACAACCTTGGAGGTATGACATGTCCAACAGAACCATGTTTAAAAATGTGTTAATAATTGATGAATTTTCACGTCGAATAAACATCTGTTATCTTTCAATGGAACTCTGATTTGATGAATAGATGATATAACGTCAATATTTGCAATAGAAATCCTTTTTATCGAATAAAATTTTGGTATCTAAGAAAAAGAATATTTTCATTATTCTTTATGAAAGATTGAGAAAACTATTTAATTTGATAGTAAACAATACTTTGTTTAAGCAAATCAATTTTTACTGGAATAATTGAATATGTTTAATACAGCATGATGTGAACATTTGTCTTTTCTTCACAAGAATCCATTCAATGACATATTCCAATTTCTCTCGTAATGTGAACTTGTTGATGCATAATACCAATTTAGCTACTCAATTGACATTGAAATTTGAGTAGAAATAGCACAATATAATCGAAAATCAGCCATTACTTTTTAAATATTGATATTCATTGTCAATTTGTTCAGTCCATATGAGTTTATGAAGAAAAAAGAAAATACTCGACTTTTGATCGATAGAAATGATAGAGTTAATATTTAATAGCAAGAAATTTTTCCTGTGTTTCGGTACAAAACAAAAATTTGCATTGTTCGATGATTTTTTTTACTTTAGCTATGTAATATTTGTCATTAAAACATTAGCCGGAGTAGTGAACAATGAGTAGATTATAACGGCAAAAAAAAAGAAAAAAAGAGATATGTTGAAACATTTCTCTTTCCGCTTTCTCTTTTTCTAAGAATATATTTTTCTCCTTTTTTTTTTATCTACTTATTATTTCTCATTTTTTCAATCAATTTTATAATAAATAAAATACTATTTCATAACAACAAACGGAAGTAGGTTTAACTATAGTTTTTCTTTTCTTTGTTCATGTCAAATTATAATCGATAAGAATACTTTGTCTACTTAGAATTACAATCGTTTATTGAGAGAATGTTGAGTATATCTAACGTAAACGGGTATATATGTGAGTGCGTGTCGATAATAAAGGTCTTCTCTTCCTTCTCTCTTAAACACATGTATACCTCTATTTTGTGTTGTTCTGTATTTCAATAACATACACATACAACACATAGATTCTTTTCTTATCCAGAACAAGTTTATAACGGAATTTTTATCTTCTATTCTCTTTTTTTTTTTACCTTTTTTTGGTCAATATTTCACTTGTCAACGGCATAAGCGTTTTAAAACAAAACCACTACAATCCATCATAAATAAATGGATAATTCAACTGGTATAATTTAAAAAAAATAAATTCAATTATGAAATTTTATCTATTTCTATCAAATAGGTTTATTACCAACCGAAGAAGCAATATTAAAAAGATTATCAACTTATCCTAGTGTTGAAGGTATTATATTAACAAATGAAGAAGGACAACTTGATTATACATCACTTGATAATAATGTAACATTTATGATTACTCCGAAATTACTTGCTTTTGCTGAAATGGCTCGATCAGCAATACGTGATTTATGTCCAACGGATAATTTAATATCACTCCGTCTTCGAACACGACAAAAAGAAGTTATGGTTGTTGCACCTAAAGATGGTATAAAAGTAATTGCTATACAAAAAATTAATTTACCACCACAATCAATACAACCTGAAAAGGAATATAATGACAATTTTTGATTTCATTTGTATTGTATTCATATGTTTTATTATTAAAAATAAAAAATTCGATCTCAAAAAAAACTTAACAATTATTGTCTTGAAATAATTTAATCGTCGATCAAACTATCAAATTTTATAATTGAAAAACAGATAAAAAAAAAATAAAAAAATTGAAAAAAAAACTTATCAGCATTATTAGAGTATATAAATTCGATTATTGTTCAGCAATAAATCATTTCGTAATCATTTCATCAAGATTATAAAGTGATTGAATTATAGTTTGAAAATACTCTCGAGCTTTCGTTCGACGAGTTTCTAATCTAAATGTATCAAGCCTATTTTTCTTCTGAAAATAAATCACGAATATGATGTATATTTTTAATACATTCATAATATTTAAATTAATATTCTTTAGCTAATCGTTGTAGATCATTCAATATAAGTTATTTCAGGTTTCTATCTGTATATCTATTGTCAACAAGTGTTATTGTTGTTTTAAAATTCTATCGTATATACTCTTTATCACGAATAACACTAGTTACAATAGATGAGTTAGTCGAAATAACGTCAATAAATGTTCGAGCTATCGATTGTGAACGAGAATATATATATGTTCAAGACGTTCAGATGCTATATATTTACCTTGATTTCAATTAAAATATAGATTTTGTACTGATCGATAATACGCAGCACACAAGTACTCGTGCATTCGCCAACATCATCTGTATGAAATGAAGCATGTTTACCAATTGTTTAATATACTTTCTTTCCGTCACCATAGTAATCCAAATAAAACAAGTAAGTACTAATTCATAAGTCAATTTCAATGTTTCATTAATTTTCCGAAATAGTTGGTTCTCGAACACAAACGTTCCAATGATTATTATTACTTCGATTATTAGTATTAGGTACATCAATAAGTTTTATTTGCACATACATGAAAGATGAGTCAACCGTTCCGAATGATAAATCCATTATATATGGGCTTGTTACAGTCCCAGTTGATACTGTTTGACCATATACTTCAATAATCATTATATCGAGTGCAATACGAAAAATATGTAAAATTTCAGGTGTTATTGGTACTAAACCAATTACCATAACTTTCACTTGACTGCCAAATAATTTTTTGTCTTTACTTTGATTAACTTCCGTTCTTATTTTATCATGAATTTTATTCCAAATTCTTTGTACTATAGAAATAATTGTTGGTTTTATAATTGAACAATATTTAAAATTTCTTTTTCTGATATTCGACAACAAGCACTTAGAGAACCATGCAGAAAAAAATAGAAATAATAATGGTTTATATAAATTTGCCATCGATCAAACTGAACTATATCGATTAGTAGAAGTAGCATTTCTATTTGAATGTTGTCATCAATTAGTCATACTTTTTACTGTTGACATAATATTTGTATGTAAAAACATTACAAGTTTTACTTCGCCTATTGATTTGAATCGTTAATAAAAGTTTTTTTTAAGATTTATTTTCTTATCTGTTCTGCCACAAATTAAAATAATTGTACCTATATTGTCCAATTCGATTTTTAGTAATGAGCGAAGATGTGATTGTTACATGGTTTTTAAATAATTGAATACCATCTAAATTATTAATAATAAATAATTTAATTTTTGTGTCTTTTAATCGTGATAAAACCGTTACTGAAGCAATATTTTGTATAAAGATCAAGAACAATAAAACAATATGCATAACAAACATGTTCAACAAATGGATAATCGGATGGATTTATGGGTATAATAGTTACTTTTGATTGTGTTGGAGTTATTTAGCTTGTGCGCATCAGTGCGAAACAATATAAAATATTTATTATAATGCTGTTGAATAAGATATATGATGAACTAATACAGCTTTATATTTGAGAGATCAACACTAGTCATATATGGTTCATTATTTGAAATAGAATTCCATGATAAAAGACATCATCTACTGTTTTTCTTTTTTAATATTAGGACACATGGTTTTATAATGTGTAACGACGAATATATTCAACAGGTTTAATTTCAACTGATTGGTTTGTAAAATCGACTCCATCATCATATTTTTGTTGAATACGTAATTCATATGCGTTTGTTTTGGCATTGCAGCTAATGCAACATAAGCACCAGTTATTTTCGAAAAATATGAAGGTATCTTTCTTTTTCTAATATCTGTCTGAAACACGGTGAACTATAAAAAATGAAGTATTCTATCTGAATACTTCTCGTCTTTTTCATCGATTCTGTGTAATAAAAGAAAATTAACGAATATTCTAGTTTATTGAAATTAATTGTCATGTTAATATTTTACATATGCTATGTTTGGTCTAGATAAATACATAAAAGAAATACTTTCATGACAAAATTTTGTCATTTGTTTTTTAAGTATAATAATAACAATAGAACAATATAATTACAGCAACCATTTCCAGCATGAAAAATAAGAGTGAAACCTCTTATATTTCAGACAATCGACGATATGATCAGTATGTTCAATTGTAAAAGTCACATATAAGAATAAACATCTCAAATATCAGTACTGAACCTTTATTATTAATTACTAAGTGTTTACTGAGAAAGAAAACAATTGGACGAAGAAAAAAAAAACTGAGATAATTAATTTTATTTACAATAAAGAAAATTCATTCTACTTATTAACAGCAAATGATTTTCCATTTAATTGTGTAATTGGTTTTTCATTTGAAAAATCAGCTTTAGTAATTTTGGATTTTGGACTTCCTGTTGTTCGAAGCCAGTTTTTCATTGCATTAATATCATCTTTCCGACCTTCCATGTGACCTTTTACGGTACCACTTGACGTATTTTTCACCCATCCAACTAGATTTAGTTTTGTTGCTTGTTTTTGAGTATATTTACGAAAGAAAACACCTTGAACAGTACCAAAGATTTCAAAGTCACATGAAATGAGTGATCCGCTTGTTTCTTTCGAGCCAGTAATATCACTACTTGTTGCCATGGAATCTGGTAAACACAATACTGAAATGACAATATATAGTTAGGATTTATCAATACGATCATGAATAAAGTTAAAAAATACAACAAAAAAATTATCAAATAATATGAAAGTATAAATGATTTGAAAATAATTTACGATTTTCTCTAGTTGTACTAATCGTACATGATTTATAATTTTGAAGAATTTATATGCTCCAAACTATATGTTTCTCATTTTTTAAAATACTCTCGTTTTCTCTACTTTCATAATCTTTTGAAACTAAAAATAGACTCGTTCATAAGTGTAATTTTACTTATGTTTTTGGTAAAACTTCTCTAAGTTCTAAATGGCATCAATCGATGCAGCTAGTTAAGATGTTGAGAAAACTGACGTTGACACCTTTAAAAATCCTGTCTGAGACTCGCACAAAGCCATCTACATTTCATTATTAGAAAGAATAATATCACAGCTAGAAAAATTCCTGCTAACTTTTAAATGTCAACAGTCGATACAGTTCGTTGAGTTGTTGAGAGAAATGATGTTAACATTTGAATACAAACACTTCAAAAACCGCAGAAATTCATAAATGTATTCGTATTACTAATATTTCAGATCATCACTAGAAAATTTCTGTTAACTGCCAGCAATCAATGCAACTCATTCAGATGTGTGGGGAAAATGATGTTTGAACCTTTAAAGAACCCGTATGAAACTCGCAGGAACTTGTATATGTTATGATATTGGTGATACAAACTTCAGTACAGAAAATTCAATTCAAGTGATGAATTGCATTGAATTGAGTCTAATTTTTCTCTGTAATTTTTTCTTAATAAGAAAAAACCAACATATGAAGCAAGAATATTAACACTCAGTTATTAAAGTTTTAATTATTGCACGCATTCGATTGCTTTCAGATTCACTCTAAAAAGTTCAGAGGCTTCAGCAAGACGTTTCAAGTGTCTATTCGTCATTTATTTTGCTTGAACGTTCAAAATTGATCATCGGTTGATACTTGGTACGTCTAACTGAAATATCTGATGCGTCTTTTTTTAGACGTAAATATGTTTCAACTAGACGGGCCAAGCGTCAACGGTTGACCAATTTTAGATGTTCAAGCAAAATAAATGAAGAATAAACACTTGAAACGTTTTGTAAGACACATGGTATTTTTTTAGAGCGTAATTGTTACTAAGACAACCATTTTCAAAACTTTTTTTTTTGTGTTCTTCTTCAGTGATGATTTACCAATTTCACGATATCTATTGGTAAACACATGGTCCAATTGAATCGCTACTTTCTTCCGGCTAAATGATTCGGCTCGGCTAGCTTCACAGTGGTCTAAAAAGTGAGTTAGATCCCAAACACACTGAAAAGTGAATTACACTAATCTCATTTTCAGTAAATACACGTTTACATTAAGCAATTAAATCACCAATGAAAGTGCGAGATATGCCTTTCTCATGTAAGCTAAGTGCATAATCAACAATGTTGATGCATTGAGAGATGTCGTTCTCTTGTGTACGATTTTCACTGAAGAAGTATACAACTTAACAAGATATTCGTTTAGCAGGTGTTCCACCGTGAATTTACAGTAACATTCAAGCTAGTGTTTCCCACTACGAAAAAGTGTTCAACTTTCAGATATTATATGATATTTGAAGGTGGAACACTTTTTCATAGTGGGGAACACAAGCTTGAATGTTACTATGAATTCGTGGCGGAACACCTACTAAACGAATACCATCTGCTTCTACACTTTTTACAGTATTTTTTTTTTGAGTTTAATCAAATAAAAGTAATGGCGTTCTTCTAGTCAATGATACGTTTTGACAATTCATGAATAGATTTTGAATATCTAATTGGTATGTCGTACTTGATTCTAAACATGATATTGTGGGTTATCAAGAGCACTCCACATAGTAAATATCGCGACAAAAGAAGAATGATTTGACGAATTTACCAATAGCGAATAATGCAAAAATGTTATACAAAAAGGCAAATATCATCACCTATTCATCATAGTCTAATTGCGATATGAATATTTGTTCTTTATTGTTCTCATAGACGCTAGCGAGAAAATAGAAATAAATATACATTAAAACGAATAGATAGTAAGAATTAAACATGAACACTGCAAATAACCATGATCTTAATATACTTGATTTGTCCAATGAAATTTTACTTGTCATTTGGAAGAAACTCAATATGATCGATGTTCTTTATTTTACTTGTGGATATTAAAGAAAGATTTGAACGATTAATACTCGATGATCTCTATATTCATCATCTTAATATGACCACCATGACCATCATGTCAGTATTTGATCATATCTTCTCAATTGACAATCAAGTTCTTGATAGAAGTTGTGAAAAAATTCTACCTCGAATTCATCATCAAGTCAATCAACTCACTGTTGAACCACATTCAATGGATCGTCTTCTTGCTATTAATTATTCTCAACTTTATTCATTATCACTTGATGTTTTTCAAGATAAAATGGTTCTGCAATATTTAAAAAGTACATCATTTCGTTTTATTCGTTACTAATTAACAAAATAATGGAATTATTAAAATATAGGTTAACAATCATTTCGTTTCTTAAATTTAAGATGATTGAATTCTTTATGATCTTCTTCTAAACAAATTATACATCTCAATATTGACATTGAAATTAAGGTAATAGCACCACCATTATTTGAAACTTTATCAAAGATATTTGTCTTGATTTTATCGTTATGTAAACGATTGATCGACTTAAACTTTTGTACATCATGTCGTTATCGACTATTGGCGATTTAAATTTTCAAAAAACCAGTAATAAAATGCGTGTCTTCAACTTTAACTACATTGAACATTAATGTCCACAGCATTGCTGTTTTTCTTTATCTTCTCGATGGACAACTCAATTGTTTATCAACATTGATTATTTATGTGATTAAAATTTCACGGATAATACCAAATATAAGAAATACGGTCAGTTTGGTTTTAATGATTTGTTTTTTCGAGAAAAAATACGATATTGAATAGATGTACATTCCTAATTTTTGTTTTTTTTTATAGAAAAGCTTTGTAAAATGAAATGTCTTTCATTGTGTTCGATTCAATACACATTGGGTTATGACAATATTATTATTCCATTACTTCATCGAATGATAAATCTGGAAGAATTGAAATTATTTCTATCAGCAATAAGAGTGGATTCGACTTATATTGATAGTGTTCAATTACACGATGAAAGCCTTATGTATATGCCACGATTAAACAAATTCAATTTCAGTATAAATACAAGTATAGTCAACAAGAATATTAAAATTGATCTTGCAACGAATGGAAAATTTCAACGTAGCTTTATTGGAAGAGAATTTGGGCAAGTTGGTTCATTTGTCCAAACTATTACAATGGAGAACGAAGGTCGATGCCATATTTATTCACTTCCATATCAATTCGAAGACTTTAGCCATCTGAACAATTCTTTCCAAGGCGGTATATTTGATAAAGTTCAAAGTTCGATGATGAATGATGCAACATATCCTTTTGAATGTAATTTCTTCCAAGAATATCTCAAGATTTTCCTTTGCTCAAAGAATTACACATAGTTAATTCTCAACCACAAAAAGATAAACAATACTCGTATGCATTGATTATATCTCCTCATCTGATGCTTCTCAAACTGAGTATAGCACATATGGATTATGCTAAACAACTTCTTTTCGATAAAAATACTGATTTACCTCGTTTGTTCAATTTTAATATTGAATACAAATCACTCGTAATAGTTACAAACAATTTTATCAATGGTGCAGCACGTCTCACTTGTGGTAAATTGAAATGTCGTGAAGTATCTGAGACAATTGTTCGTTCAGAAAATTTTAATCAATAATTCCCTTTATTACAATCATTGCTTTTGTTAAAAATTCCATCAACCTACTTGTTCAAATATACTGCTTCTTTTTTTATTAAATAAAAGTTCATTAAATAAATGAATATAACTAGACAAAACACATATTTCATAAACAATAAATAAAAATCTAATCTATAACAAAGTTTTTTAAACACATCATGTTCTAATGAGCAGAAAATTGTAAAAAAATGAAGTTCAATAGCAATGGCACTCGAAAATCTAATAGCATTCATACTATTGCTTAATAAAACAACCATCTGCTTCTTTGGCATAATTTTCAATTAGTTCAACATAATATTGATACTCATCTGATTGATTCAATTCATCTCCTATTTCAAAATGTTGTTCAAACCAATTTAATCTTCAAAATTTCGCAGAAAATTATGTGAAAAAATGGAAACATTCATCGTAAGTGTCTGGACGTCCAAATGAGTTTGACCCCCTCCCTTCTTTGTCCAGATTTCTCCAGTTTTGGCGAACTCCTCGCTCCTTCTTTATCTGGATGTTCTCTTTATGTGTCACCTCTTAGTTGAATTTTTAGTTATCTACATTGTAAAGTGGACTTAAATAAAACGATTTTTCATAATATAATGTACAAATGTTGTTGCTGTTGAACTGATTAAAAAAACCAATAAGTGAGCATATCGATTCTACAGAGTACCATATCCTGCTCTGCTCGATCCAGAGCAGCAGTGTAGGACAAGGCAGGATGTAAAAATTCACTGTGAGTATCTCTGCATTTTATCAATCTTCTATTATAATATCCACTGAAACCGATAGACTTAAAGTTTTTTTTGCAAATTTGATGAATAAGTATAATAAAAAAAGAGAAGTACATCTTAATAAAACTAAACTAACTTAAGTAGAATGCAATCGAGTGAGATGCATATCTTTAATGTTGAACTACGTAAACTTATAGTAGTCAACAAGTCCAACACTTTGAAGTCATAAAAGAATTGACGATTAATCAAGATGCATTGAAACGATAATCGTGAGATGAAAGTCGATAAATCGCGGTTTTTTCGAATGATTTTGACGATTTCTGTAGTAAACGGCTATTTTTTGATAGATTATTATCCTTCGCATATCGATAATAAAAGCGATTTTATTCATGAAATC